TTCAGTCTCTACTGCAGAGTGCGGATGTATCTCTTTCATAGCCTGACTTGCTTCACTCAGGAATAAATCTTCCATATTTGTTCACTTTCTATTAAATGTCAGGGTCTTGTTAATGCAATCCCTATAAAATTACAAGAGACATTCTTCACAGCTCTAGAAAAGACAATCAGAATTCATCTGGAGCCGTAAAAACCCCATATAGCCAAAACAATCCTATGCAAAAAGAGTGGAGTGGGTGGCATCTCACTTCCTGACACCAAAATATAGTACAAAGCTATGATGATCAAAACAGCATGGTAATGGCCCCCAAACAGACATGAGGACCAATGGAACAGAGAAAAGACCCCAGAAATAAACCCCAAAACATATAGCCAACTGATCATTGACAAAGGGTACTAGTCAATTCAGTGGGAAAAGGAAGACATCTTTAGCAAATTGTGTTAGAAAAACTGAGTATACACCTGCAGAAAGATAAATCTGAACTCCTGTCTCTCACCTTGATTAAAAAAAATCGACTCAAAGTGAATCAAAGATCTAAACCTAAGACCTCAAACTATAAAGCTACTAGTGGAAAACACGGGAAACTCTGGGAGACAGTGAGTAAGCAAAGACTTTTTAAGCAAGACCTCCAAAGCACAGGCAATAACCTCCAAAATAGACAAGTGGGATTACATCAGATTAAGACATTTCTGCACAGCAAATGACACAGTAATTAGTGTGAATCGACAACCCTCAGAGTGGGAGAAAATTTTTGTGAACTATACCCCAGATAAGGGACTGATAACCAAAATGCACAGGGAATTCAAGTGGTTTACGTGGAAGAAAGTGATGAACCCAATTAAAAGACAGGAAAATGAGCTGAATAAACAACTCTCTATAGATGACATACGAATAGCCAAAAGGTATAAGAAAAATGCTCAACAGCCCTCATATTAGGGGAGATGCAAATCAAGACCACAATGAGATACCACCTAACACCAGTCAGAATGGCGAAGACTAAAATAAAAACAAAAAAATGATAAATGCTGGAGGGGATGTGGTGAAAGAGGAACTCTCGTACACTGCTGGTGGGAATGTAAATTTGTACAACCACTGTGAAGAACAATATGGAGGTTCCTAAAAGACCTTCAAATAGAACTACCATATGATCAAGCAATTCAACTCCTTGGTATCTACCCAAAGCACATGAGAATGCTCAGCTGGAAAGTGCTTGCATATCTATATTTATTGTGGCGTTATTCACAATTGCTAAGACATGGAATGAATGTCCATAAACAGATGAATGGATAAAATAGTGTGGCACATACACTCCATGGAATATTATTCAGTCAGGAGTATGAATGTTAAACTACAATATATACAGGTACATCTTAAATCTAGTTAGTAGAAAATCATAAACTCCGAATACTATTGATACAAATACATATACAATATACATTGTAAGGTTAACCCAGCAACCACAGTAAACTCAACTGATCATGAATTTAAATAGTAATTTTAAAAACAAAATGGGGTGGAGGGGCCAGTGGATGGTGTAAGAGTTACATCTCTGGACTCCCATGTAGTTGATCACCATTCAAGTCCCAGATCTGGAGGCTTAAAACTCATGCTGGGCATGTTTGCATTAGTGCCCAAAATCTCAAGAGGAGAATGGAGGAGAATAGATTGTGGCACGGCCAACCCCCTCTGGGGACAATTTCTCTTTCTGTCTCTCTGTCTCTCTTTGTCTCTCCAGCAAGCACATGCACCCTATAGCAAAAATCTCTATAAAAATAAATAAATAAATAAATAAATAGGGTGAGTACTAGGGGGTGGGAATCAGGGAAAAACAAACACATTTAATAGACACAAAAATGAAAAGTAATTTTCTAATAATAATATATATGATAATGTCTTTAACTTGGCTAATATGCACTACATTTATGCTGGGAAAAATCATGTTGTACACTGTAAAAATATACAGTGATTAAATGTAAAAAAATTTTCAAATAGCAGCAATTAAAAATCACAACCAACTTAAAACAACATGGATGATATGCTGGAAAAAATACTTCCTACAAATAACAGGAATTCCATCAACTACTTGGTTGTAGGGCATGTACAGTAGGTTCTGCAAATTGCTAAGTGCTTTGTGGCAAAGACTTCTTGAAAATAATCTGTGTATTCAGGAAACCATAGTCATAATCTAAAATTAGATACTAAATTTGAGTAAACTCTTATTCAGTAGGTAAGTGATAATAAGTTCAAGTAAAAATGAGAAGCTGTCTATTGTGATTCATTTGCCACTAAGAGTCTTGGAAATGACTTGCATTGGGGGAGTTAGAGGCTCAAGGAGACAAGTTTGCAGCCTAACAGATTCATTCCCCAACTGTGCAGTACATAAGCAAAAATCTATCTTTATGTCAATTTCTAAGTTCAATATCTAAAATTTTTAATCATGACAGCTTACTCTAACTGGGGAATGTCAATTATTTCAGAATGGTAGGAATGAGCATCATTCTAAGTATTCAAAGAATGTAAACTTCTTAAAGGTTCATTTCTAAGCCTGTGTTTGCTTGAGCCTTAAAAATTCTGAATAAATTGAACAATAACAAGTGTGAACTACTGTTTATTTTATAAAATTCAGGATGTGTTATCTTTCTGTCTCTTGTGATAGTATAAACCAAATAATATATTTTACATGCTGAAATATTTATTTTTCACTGGTATATGGAAACATTCAGGATGAATTCTTGAACAGATCAAAGCTCTATAAATAGAGAACAATAGAACACTTTACATTACATCCTAACATCTGCATATGGCCTGTTTTCCATTATGTAGTCAAAAGGAGCACAGCACATAAACACAGCAGAAATTCTAAGGTCATTTTCATGTCTAGAAAAACAGCAGTCTTACACAAAATGAACTGTGCTGCCAGACATTTACAAACTCCTAACAAAAGTTTACAATTTCCTGCAAAAAAAATATACCAGCTGCTTCAGGATGTGGGTAAGACATGCATGATCCTGTGGTAAGCATTTCCCAAACAAGAAAAATAGAAAGGCAAGTCTTTGCTAACCTGCAGCCTACCCGATTGCCTGATTTATGAGTGCCACAAAAACAGAGTAGGTTGAGCTGTTCAAGGAATAACTTAGAAATAAATAGTCCATAAAACAAAAATATTTTAGGAAAAGTGATTTTTAGGTGGAAAGAAATATCTTAATATTATGTAGCATTAAATTGTAAGTTGATATACTAGATATAGTATATTTCATAATCATACAAAACAAACATTTGGATTTATCTTTTTTAAGACTTTAGTCAATCCTTAATAAGTAATAATTCTTTTAGTGATAAAAGTATAAATTCATTCAATGAAAATATAGTACACATCCAGTTTCTCATAACCTCCCATTCTTTTCTTATCTTTTTACCACAAGCTTATCTTCATATAGTATTTAAATAGTAGAGCTATTTTACACTGTTCCCAGTTTGTTGTCATTCATTCATTCTCATAAAAAAATTTATTATTGACTAAATATCAGCAAATGATTGGGTCAGGTTATCTTCCCTTTGCCTTTTTTTCCCATGTTCAATTTTTTTCTTTTTTAAAGAGATTTTTGCTATAGGGTATGTGTACTCACTAGAGAGACAGAGAGAGTTGGAGAGACAGAAGCAAGAAATCACCCCCAGGGGAGATGGCCACACTGCAATCCCATCTCCTCCATTCTCCTCTCAGGATTTTGGGCATACATGCACACAAGTCCAGTGTGAGTTTTAAGCCACTGGGTTGAACAGCAGTGTACTACGTGACAGTCTAGTGACACAACCATCACATCTTCTTCAGGTCCCTCATACTGTATTTTCTACCCTTCTGAACTCATTTAATAAGATTTCTAATGATAAAAGCCTCATTCTTCCTTCCATAGCTGTTGATTTACCCAGAACTCCTATTGATGGGCTAGGATTTTTCACATTATCTAAGAGTGAGATGGAGTTGATGAGGAGAGGAGAGTGGTGAGGAAAAAAATTTGTATCTGTTACTTGTATTCAACATGTGGTATACTTGGCCAAGTATTAAATGTCTATTATCTTAATAAATTTCATAACAACAAATAAGGAAGGTGAATTATTATTCTCATTTTGTAAATTGGGAAAGTAAGTCTCTTCGCACCTAAGGTCACACAGTTTGTAATTGCCAATACCCATAATAGAACTTTGACCTAATTCCAAAAGTTTTTCAACTGCTCTTCTTAAAAGAACAGTTAGCACCTGATACATTTTTTTAAATTTGATAATAAAATATTGTTTTAATCTATGCTACTCATAAAACCCAGACCTCGTCCTCTTCCATTCTGCCTGTAAAAATAATATTCTATTTAGATCAGTTACAAAAAAAATATATCTTAACTTTTTTTTTTTTTGAGAGGTTTTTGCTATAGGGCACTTGTGCTCACCAGAAAAAGAGAGACAGAGAAGCAGAAAGTGAGAAATCACCCCCCATGGGGGGTTATGGCCACACCGAAATCCCTTCCCCTCCATTCTCCTCTTGGGATCTTGGGCATGCATGCATACGTGCCTGGCGTGAGTTTAAGGGACTGGGTCCAGGACTTGAATCGTGGTCGACTACATGGGAGTCCAGCAACATAGTCATTACGCTAACTGCTGGTCCTAACAATGGTTTTTGGAGGAAAGGTGGACAGTTCACACAAAGAAAAATGTTCATTAATAACTTACAGCATTTTTAAAGTTCTGAAATCTTTCTCAGACATTATATTGCATTTTCTTTTCTTTTTTTTTAGACCATTCTACAAATATTGCTGAGAATAATAGATAATAGATTATAGTTTATGCATCTTAAAATTAGAACAATAAAATAAAAATTAAACCAAGGGAAAATGCAAACTTAAAATGCCTATTTTTATTAATAGGAATGAAATAAAATAATATCACAAAATTAATATTAAAGAAAAATAATTTATTATGCCATATTATAATTATTCCATATCAGTTTATACCTTATATTCTTCATAATCATTGTTATCTAGCAAGTCTCTTTTCTCCAGTTCTATAAGTTGTTCTGTAGAGGGCTTAGTAGTTAGCTGCTTAATAGAGGCTTGTTCATATACAGGCTTGCCATGAAAAAACAGTTCCTTCCAATCATGCATCAACTTAGATGGAATCAGACTATTGGGGAAAAAAAAAAGAAGAAAAAGGTAGAGATGAGTCAATGGTTAGTCAAGTACGTATTTTAAACCTCAGTCTTTTTCACTGTTTATGTAATTAACTCACTATTATCAGACTTAAATGGAAACAATTACTAAAATATTATTGTATGGGTTACTAAATGTGCAATGACAAAAAGACTAATATACATTAGGTTTTTTTGTTATGAATTGTTTACAAATATGTAAACCAGCTTGTATCTTTTTTTTTCTTTTTTTTTTTTTTTTTAGGTTATTATCATAAAGTGTGTGCACTTGCTGGAGAGAGACAAACAGAGACAGAGTGAGAAATCATTCACTGAGGTATGGCCATACCATTGTCCCTTCTCCTCCATTCTCCTCCTCCTGGGATTTTGGGCACACATGCACACACAACTGGCATAATTTTTAAGCCACCAGGCTTGGACTCAAACTGTGGTTGGCCATGTAGGAGTTCAGTGCTTTAAAAATTATGTCACCTGCTGACTCCAACTAGCAGTTATCTTAAAAGGGCCTCAAAAAGCATTCAGTCCATCCATTTTGCATTAGAAGACATTGGTACTACAGCATTTAAATAATTTTCTAAGGTTGTACAGTCATTTTATAATAGAACTAGGAATTTAAAAACTTAAGTTTTCTAGTATTTCATTCTGATACATGCGAACCTGTGGATGAACCTTGGAAATATGCAAAGCGAAAATAAGTCAAATATAGGAATATGATTTTACGTATACTAGGTACCTAGAATAGGCAAACACATAAAGACACAAGGTAGACAATATTATCAAGGGCTAGGAAAAGGGGAAATGGAGAATTATTATTTAATGCAAACAGACCTAACAACTTATTGAAAGGGTTATGTGGTCAGGAGTCTTGAAGAACTCCTAACTGTCCTCATATTCAGGGACTTCTTGCCCCTTTCTCCAACACTTGTCAGAGTTTATAAGGAAGAACTCCCCTGTGCTTCCCTATAATATTTTAATATTTTTTTCAAATGATGATTTTACTATGACATTTGTAGAGGATCTAAGGTTTTGTGATTATAATATACTAAAGCAGTTCATATATTTTGAAAAACTTAGAAGAAAAAATGAACTTAGCTTGTCTAAACTTTACAGTGCAATTATTTTTACATTAAAGGATGTGAGGATAAAAAGCACAAAATAGTAAAATCAGAAACACTTTTTAAATAGCTTCTCTAATCTTAAAGAACATTGTTCTCTTTTTTCCTTGCATAGGCTCCTCCTCCTCCTCAAGATTCCAACCTCACTGCTTCTAATGTATTCCTTTGAGAGTCACCTGGTGTGACTTCTGGGCCTTTTAATGTTAACTGAAATTCTTAAGAATCATGCATACACTTGGGCTGGCTGTTTCATTTTCTCAAATGATTCATATTTCACCAGCTCACCTCAGGTCAGCTTGATCCGATAAAGCAAATAATAATTAAAAATAAGTCAAGTGAGGAAGAAATACTACATTCAAACATGAGGTGCTTTAGAAATACTACCACACTTCTCAATTTTGAATGAGCTTTTGTCTTTAAACGATTTGTTCTGGGGCCATCAGGTGGCACAGACATTAAGGCACTGGATCCCACATGGCCAATGGGTAGTTTGAGTCCTGGATCCAGTGGCCTGGGAACTATGCACAGGCACATGTTTGTATGTGCCCAAGATCCTGAGAGGAGAAAGGAGAAGGGATTGTGGCATGGTCATGCCCCCTTGGGGAGGGTGACTTGTCACTTTTCCCACTTCTCTCCCTGGTGAGTACATGTACCCTATAGCAAAAACTAAAAAAAAAATTAAAAAATAAAACAAACCAAAACAAAAACACTTTTGTTCCAAAAATTCAAGCCATGTGATCTGTGAATAATTTATGCTATTTTTGTGGATTTTATTGTTATTTAAACATACTTTTTTTTCTTAAACTTTTTTTGTCTTAGGAGCTGAGTGTGCTTGTCAGAGAGATGGACAGGCAGAGAGAGAGAAAGAAAGAATGAGAGAGCAAAACAATGAGAAATCACTCCCCATGGGGTATGTCCACGTCACATCACAATCCCTTCTTCATTTCTCCCTCCTTTCAGGATTTTGGATGCACACAGATGCGCCTGGTATAATTTTTAAGACACCAAGGCTGGGACTCAGTCATGTGGGATTCAGCCGTCTTAACCATAGGCTGGTCCATCATTAAACTTTTATTTTGAGATAATTGCTGTTTCATATGAAGTTATAAGAAAAAATGCAAAGATCTATATATCCTTATTCCAGTAACTGTAGCATCTTGCAAAACTATAGTACAATATTGTGATCGGGGCACTGAGATAGACAAGATACATCACAGAACTCCCCATGTCGCCCTTTATAACCACATTTGCTTCCTTCTTGCCCCTACTCCCTCCTTAGCCCTTGGCAATTGCTAATCTTGTTCTCACTTTCAGTCATTTAGAGAATGCTATATAAACGAATCAGGTAGTATATAACCTTTTCTTCTAAACTGACAAATTTATGTGAGCTGAGTTACTCTTCTCTACTTCCCAGACTCCTATGACATGAATGAATGACTAATTCCTGCAGCGTCAGTAATATTTTTTCAGTCCATCTTGTCCCTGTCATTCAGACTAGGTAATTTCTATGGCTCTATTTACTAGTTCATTGATTCTTTTCTCTGTCCCTTTCATTCTGCTGTTAAGCCCAACCACACAGTTTTTTTTTTTTTTTTAATTTAAATGAATATACATGTCAGTTATAAAATTTCAATTTGATTACTACTTATATTGTATATCTCTGCTGTGATTAAATTTTGATTAACTTTTCTTCATCTGTTTTAAGAACATTTGTAATTGCTCATGAAAACATTTTTATGGGACCAGCAGTTAGTGTAATAGCTATGTCGCTAGACTCCCACATAGTCGACCGCAGTTCGAGTCCCGGACCCGGTGGCTTAAACTCACACCGGGCGCATGTGCGTGCATGCCCAAGATCCCGAGAGGAGAATGGAGGAGAAGGGATTGCGGTGTGGCCATCCCCCCTGGGGAGTGATTTCTTGCTTTCTGTCTCTCTGTCTCTCTCTGTCTGTCTGGCAAGCACACGTGCCCTATAGCAAAAACCTCTTCAAAAAAAAAATTTTATCATGGGTGCTTTAAAATCTTTATAAAAAATTCTAACATCTCTGTCATTTGAGGACTGGCATCTGCATGAGTTTCCTAAAGCTGTCAAACAAGGCACCATAAATTCGGTGGTTGAAAATGACAGATAACTGAAGGAGTCACAGTTCTCAAGCCTAGAAATCTGAAAGTGGTGTGTGGGCAGAGCCAAGTTCCTTCTGAAAACAGTAGGGAAATCCTTCCTTGCCTCTTCCTAGCTTCTGGTGGTTGCCGGCACTCTCTGGCTCTCCTTGATTTGCAGCTGCATCATTCCTTGCCTTGGTTGTCAGTTGGTGTTCTCCCTGTGTGTCTCTTTTCCACTTTTATAAAGATACTGAATTAACCAGTATGATTTCATCTTAACTAATCAGGTCTGTTAAAGAACCTGTTTCCAAATAAGGCCATATTCTGGGGTTATGGGGATTAGGACTTTGACATGTCTTTGTGCAGGACACAATTCACATAACACCATCTGTAGTTTGTCCTTTTACATTCAGCTTGAGAGGTGATTTTTTTTTTTAATTGAAATTTGGACATTTTTGTATTACTTTTTAAGTCATAGAACCTAATATAAACCTTCTGTTTAGCTGCTTTGTTTGACACTACTCTGGCAAGGAAAAGAGGAGGTACCATCTTGTATCTGACAGGTGTGAACACAAGTCCCTAAATGGACATCGTTTATACCAGAGAGGAGGAGGGCCTTGTTACTTCTGGGAGAAGGTGGGAATTCTGCTTTCACAGAGTCTCTGAGACACTGCAGTGGGGGTGGACTTGTTATCACTTGGGGATGATGAAAGTCTTGACTCTATTAGATCACCTCTCAGAGAGGGGAGGAGGAGGAGTGCCCTGTTACTGTTAGGTAGGGACAAAGTCCATGTTTCCTACTTAACATTCTCTGCCACCACCCTGGTGGGTATGTTGAGGTGCCTTGTTGCAGCCTTGTAAGAGTGGAAGATAAGGCTCCCTACCTGACCTTTGCTAGAGTAGGTGGAGGTGCGGCTGCCTTTTTTTTTCTCTGTGGTATTTGGATGGAACAGAATATTTATTGTCTAATGTTTTCCAACTTTTTTTTTTTTATATAAGCCAGAGGGTGTATGCTGTCAGCAGAGAGAGATAGAGAAACAGAAAGAAATAGGAAGAGGAAAAAAGCACCTCCCAATGGGGGCTGTGGTCACATTGCAATCCCTTCTCCATTTCTACATCCTGTCCGGGAGTTGGGGTATGCACCTATCTGTGCCCATGAGATTTTCAGGCCACAGGAATTAGAATTTGAACTTCAATCAACCATGTAGGGTCCAGCTTCCTTAGCCACTGATGGGACTAGACCCCAAAAGGTTTTTTTATTGCCACATGACTTGTGGACTCAAAAAAGTGACAGAGAAACAGACACACAGAGAGAAAGCAGTAGGGTATGGTCATACCACAATCCCTTCTTCTCCATTTCTTTATCTTGTTAGGATTTGGGGCATACATACATGTGCATGCACACACATACATGTACACACACACACACACACATTGTATTTTTCAAGTTGTCTAGCTTGGATTCAAGCCACGGTCAGCCATGTAAATCTAGATCCCTTAACCACTAGGCTACAAGGCCTAGTGGTTTTCCATCTCTTTAGGCTGCTCTTTTACTTATCCTTTGGCTAGAGAGCAGGCTTTTGTGGGGGCTATTTCTGTCTGGATCATTGACATGTCTGTGTTGCTAGAATATTCAGCTCTGAGTAAGGCAAAAGGAAACCTAGGTAGTTTACCACCATGTCACTCCTCTGGTCCTGAGGTCACTAACCAGTCTCACTTCTCTCCACCTTTCAGAGCCTTTCTATATGTGTTTTATATATAATGTCTAATGTCATGGCTAATGTTTAGCTGTACTCAGAGGAGGAAAAGGAGAAAGTATACCTACTCTGTTTTCCCAGAGTAGAATGTGATTTGTCTATTTTTGTCTTAATTTTTAAATTATGAGCCTTTATTTGTTTAGGGAAATCAATCTGTTTTACTGTACTTTATTCCCCTTTGAATTATTTCATTGTTTTGCATTTAAATCTTCTTTTAATTATTTCTTATAATTAAATCCATTTCAAGCATTATATCTTTTCCTTTTTGAATTTTTTTTTATAGTTTAGCTTCCTCATAATTTTGTTCTTATAGTATCTAAACTTTTGAATTTATATTGATCTGAAAAGCTTTTTTTTTTTTTTGAGAGGTTTTTGTTATAGGGCATGTGCGCTTGCCAGAAAGACAGAGAAAGCAAGAAATCACCCCCAAGATGGGATGGCCACGATGCAATCCCTTCTCCTCCATTCTCCTCTTGGGATTTGGGATCTTGGGCACACATGCACATGCACCCGGTGTGAGTCTAAGCCACCAGGTCTAGGACTTGAACCATGGTTGACTACATGGGAGTCCAGTGACATAGCCATTATACCAACTGCTGGTCCCTGAAAAGCATTTGTTAACATTCACTATTTAATTCCTTTCGGTTTCAGTGTTACTTATCTCCTTTCAAATTTTGTACCTTTTTCATTTTATCTTCAAAATGATCTCATCATTATTTTATTTAGTAGATTTTCATATGGCAGTGGGCCAGACATGTGTTTATAGGCATGAGAGTGACAGAAAATTTCATTATGTATAGAGGTGATGGGATGCTTTCCCTCTTCTGTCTGATCCTGCAGGTCACCAGGTTTTCATTCATTTTATTGTGAATTCTCAAGGAGATCTCAACCTAGGTAACTTGAAAGGTATACAAATTTAACTATACTGCCTTATCCTTGACCATGTAGAATTATTTTCACTGAGATCAACTGTGGTACCATTCCTCTTCAGCTTTTAAGCACAGGCCATCATGAGAAAAAAGTCTAAGTCCAGATACTACATTTGTTTGAAAAGCTTTGCTGAGGACATTTTTCACTCAATTCACTACATTTCCTAGGGTATATCAGATCAGCTTACTTGATGAAAGTATTCTAAACTGAAATCAAAATTTTTTGTGTGTTTTGTAGAGAATTTCTATGTTTATTGTGGCATTATTCACAATTACTAAGACATGGAACCAACACAAATGCCCATAATCAGATGAATAGACTGAAAAACTGTGGCACATATACTCTATGGAATACTATTCAGCCATTTAAAACACCAAGACCCTGGCTTTTGACAGGTAGTGGGAGAATATGGAAGATTTACTCCTGAGTGAAGCAAGCCAGGCTATAAAGGAGAAACATTATACGTCCCAATTAATATATACCGAGTGTCTGCACGCTACGACTGAAACTGATTGACTAAAGGATATAGAAACACAGTAAAATCGGGGCTGGTAGGTGGCATGGTGTTAGGGGCGCTGAACTCCCACATGGCTGAACACGGTTCAAATACTGGACCTGGTAGCTTGTTAAAAAACAAACAAAAAAACCCCACCACGGTTAATGGATGTGAATACCAGATATAGTGTATGTGAAAGAGTAGAGTCTGAGGAAGGACATTTAGAAGAAAAATAGAGAGGCAAAGTATTAAAGGGACAAAGAAATGTGGTATAATCTGTTGAAGATAATTTTGTAGTTTTATCAACTGGTCTAGGGAGAAATGTTCACATGTTGGAATATTCACTTTGTAAGCTTAATAACATGATTAAATGCATAAAAGAAAATGAAATAAAAAATTTAAAAAGTAAATGAAAAGAAAAATTCATTAGAGCTAAATATTTTTAAAAAAGAAAATGTAAATCATATATCAGATTGTATTTTCCTTTTTGCTTTGACCACTAGAAGCTTGGACCATATCTGTAGCTCAGTTGTAGTAACTGGCGAATCTATTTCTATTTTACCCTCGTCCTTAACCTCCTACTTTAATTTGAAATTTTCTTGTTATTATTTTGGCATATTATTCATTTTGGGAGATTTTTAAAAATTTCCTTATGAACATTTTGATTTCTTTTAAAAAACAAGGTGTGATTAAAGATAAATAGATATGGGACCAGCAGTTAGTGTAATGGCGATGTCACTGGACTCCCATGTAGTCGACTGCAGTTCAAGTCCCAGACCTGGTGGCTTAAACTCACTCTGGGCACGTGTGTGCATGCATGCCCAAGATCCCAAGAGGAGAATGGAGGAGAAGGGACTGCGGCGTGGCCATTCCCCCTGGGGGGTGATTTCTCACTTTCTGTCTCTCAGTGTCTCTCTCTGTCTTTCCGGTGAGCGCACAAGCCCTATAACAAAAACTTCTCTAAAAATAAATAAATAAATAAATAGATTTAATAATTAGCAAAATAATTTTTAAGTGCTTCCAGTCTTCTAAGGAAATTCCAAGTACTTCAAATAAATTATCCTAGTTTTCTTTGAAATTACAGAGAATTTAGACATATTTTTTAAATGGAAAAAGACATAAATACATCTTAAATAAGGTTAATTATTGGGTAAGTCAAGTCAGTAATCAAAGTCTGTGGGACCTCACTTCTTAATCTTCTCATGAAAAAAATTGTTACTCTTTACTTATCAATGTAGTATCTACTTTATAGTTATCTTGTCTCATTCTGCATTTCTATTGTATTCATTATAAAAAGCAGTACTTACTTATTTGTCAGCATTCGATAGTCTGCCACTTTTGTGGACAATTCAAGTATTTGATCCAAAATTTCTGCACATATTGAATAATGTTTCTTGTAACGAGCCTGAGCTCTTTCCACAGCAATCTGTTCATGAATTTCCTTGTCTCTGTGGATCTGTTCTTCAAAATCAATCTTGGCTTGTTTTGCCAAAGCCTAAAAACACAAAAAACATATTTAGATGTTACTATAATTGTGCAGTGATTCAAATAAAAATAATCATCATTTTAATAGCCAAAATGTCTGTAAACAGAATGAAATCTTTTATACCAGGGAAAAATTAATCATGAATGAGCATTTTCTCCTTAATAGGAGGGTTCAAGAAAAATTGTGGAAATGGAATTAAAGTATGAATTTATTTTGCTGCAAAAATAATTTTAAATCTATGCATAGTTTTTTTTAATCATATACATTATTCATCAACTCTTTCAAGACTTTTTGAAGATGAACATTAAAAATGGAATCTGATGGCGAAGACAATATTGGAAATATTCTACTTGTACCTTAGCTCATCAACAAAGGAGGACAGTAAAACGTGGTCTAACGGGAAAACCCAATATGGATTAATGATAAATTGAATCAATTACTTTTAAAATAAAATCCTAAACCCATGAACTGAAAATGAAAAAAATTGTTACTCTTTACTTATCAATGTAGTATCTACTTTATAGTTATCTTGTCTCATTCTGCATTTCTATTGTATTCATTATAAAAAGCAGTACTTACTTATTTGTCAGCATTCGATAGTCTGCCACTTTTGTGGACAAATCAAGTATTTGATCCAAAATTTCTGCACATATTGAATAATGTTTCTTGTAACGAGCCTGAGCTCTTTCCACAGCAATCTGTTCATGAATTTCCTTGTCTCTGTGGATCTGTTCTTCAAAATCAATCTTGGCTTGTTTTGCCAAAGCCTAAAAACACAAAAAACATATTTAGATGTTACTATAATTGTGCAGTGATTCAAATAAAAATAATCATCATTTTAATAGCCAAAATGTCTGTAAACAGAATGAAATCTTTTATACCAGGGAAAAATTAATCATGAATGAGCATTTTCTCCTTAATAGGAGGGTTCAAGAAAAATTGTGGAAATGGAATTAAAGTATGAATTTATTTTGCTGCAAAAATAATTTTAAATCTATGCATAGTTTTTTTTAATCATATACATTATTCATCAACTCTTTCAAGACTTTTTGAAGATGAACATTAAAAATGGAATCTGATGGCGAAGACAATATTGGAAATATTCTACTTGTACCTTAGCTCATCAACAAAGGAGGACAGTAAAACGTGGTCTAACGGGAAAACCCAATATGGATTAATGATAAATTGAATCAATTACTTTTAAAATAAAATCCTAAACCCATGAACTGAAAATAATTAGACAAGTCTATGCCAGACCCCAAGCCTAGTTAGCTCCTCACACCCACCCCAGAATCCTCAATCTGGATATATCTGCTGTGGCCACTATTCTTTGTCTTCCAGTGGGAGAGTCCCACGATACTTATTTATATTAGGAAAATACTTTGAAAATTCCCCCATGATACGGGTTTGAGAATATAATACATTTGCCAACAAATGCTAAATGTGTTAAGGTAACATCTATAAAAGCACCTGCTGTTATGGCTGTCATAAATTGGTAACATTCATTTGTAGAAACTTGACTTTCTGCAGAAAGTCATGAAATATTTCAACAGTTTGTCATCGCTCTCTACTTGGCTTACACAATTATTTTATTTAGGGAACCTTTTCTTACACAAAATTCAAGGCCCAATTCAGTACAGCCAAGATAAGAGCGACATCGTACTCACCTAGCAGGAATTCAAATGACCAAGTGTTGCTTTCCGAATGGTTATACCAGCTCCTGGAGCAATCTGATCATGTGCTAACCTGCTCCAGAAACAAGAGCTACCTTCTATAAATTAACCCAGTGAGTGTAAAATGAAATTAAGCCTGGTTTGGGAGGACCTTCATTGGAATCCAGCCTCAGCTCTGTACAGGATTTAAGTTCTAGCTGTGAGAACTTGGGTTAGTCAGGTAGCCTCCTCATGGTTCCATTTGCTCAGGGTAAGGAATTAACAATACTTAGCACAGCCATCTCATCAGAGCAAATATTTCTTATCCTGACACTATTCATACATGACTAGATGCATGACAACAGATTGCTACGTAAGGTCCCTCATCGATTTTACTACTGTTTATTTGTTTTGTAGTTCGTTATGTTTTTTTTTTTTTCCCCTGGTAAAGAGGTTGGGCTGGATGACCTGCAGGGTCAATTCTGTACATTAGGCAGAAATTATTGTTGTATTCTTTTGTAGGACCTGTTTTCATGTAGAGAGAATTCATTTAAGTCCAAAGCTTTATGCCATATTTCATGGAGGAAGTTTGGAGAGTTCAGAGTGAGAATCTAAGAGACTAAGAATGTTAGGCATTGTGAAGAGAGAGACACTGAAATGGGTCATGAAGTTTGTTTACTGTCTACGGAAACTGTGGAAGTATTTAGAATGTAATGGGACCAAAACCTGATCTGGAACAATAGAACTTCCCTATCTGAAATAAAATAGCGTTTAATGCTGGTTTTTGCTATCACTTGTCTCTTCCCTCTCACCCTTCCTCCTTCCATGTTTTCCTTCTTTTCTTTTGTCCTCCTTCAGTTCCTCCCTTCCATCCAGCTCTGCAGTCTCCCTTCTCCTTTTCTACTTCTGTCATCAACATGTGCTAAACCCACCACAACTTCCGGTCTCATTACAGCAAAGTGGGTTGAAGCCCTAAAAAGAGACAGAAGGAAAGGAAAAAGGAAGTCTGTGGGAGGTAGTAAATCTCAGTGGTTACGATTGGACTCTGCAGTCTGATAGAGCTGGCTTTGCTCCTGCAACAGCACTGAAGAACTGCATGACTCTGAGCCTTCTGAGTTTCTTTTTCTTTATGTGTAAAATGTAAATAAGAATGGTATCCACTGGCGGCTATTGCAAGAATCATATTACATTTGCATGTAATGAACATAGTACAATGCTGACTCAAAGTAAATGTCAAAAAATGTTAAAGATTGTAATTATTATTAACAATAGTAGATGGCATAGAAATTTGAAATCAGGAGTTATCTAAATTTAGATGGCTATTTGCCTTAAAGGGAGAGATTAGCAGATTTAATAAAAAAAAAAAAAAAAAAAAAACAGAGCAAAAACAAACAAAACCTCCTGAAGGTGAAAAACACAGATCTCTCTCCGTCTTCACTCCTTTTGTTCTTTCTTTCCCTTTACTCCCCCCTTTCTTCCCTGATTCTCTCTCTCCCTCTCTCACTTTCTGTCTCTCTTTTCTCCCCATCTTCCTCCCTCCATCCCACTTTTTGTTTCTATTTCTCTTCCCATTTCTCTCCCACATTCACTCTCTCTTATTCTCTGTCCTCTCTTATTTTTTTGTTTTCTCCCTCTTTCTCTTTCTCTCTGTTCTTTCTCTCTCTCCTTCCCTCTCTCTCCTTTGTTGTTTATTTTTCTCGCTCTCCTCTCACTCTGTCTCTTGTTCCCACACCCTCTCTACCTTTTTGTTTCTCTCGCTCTGTCCCCTGCTCTCTCCCTCATCTCCCTCTCCCACTCTTTCTATTGTTCCATTTTTCTTCTTCCTACTCTGCCTATCTGTCTCTCTCTTTCTCACTCTCTCTTTCTTGTACTTGCTCTCTCTCTTCCCCCTTTCCTCCCAACGTGCCAGGCTCTGGGCTACGTCCTAGGAAACGTTAGTGGCAGAAGTAATGATTCTCAGAAAGAATCACACTCTCTGAGAAGTTTCTTGGGCAAGATTGTTGGATATGGGGGTACATGATAGGCACCCAACCTAGATAAGTGGCATGTGGACAGAGTTCCGGCTACTCTATTAAACTCTGTGGACTTTAAAGAAAAAGGAAGTCCCTTGGGCATCTAGGGAAAAAAAAATAAAAGTAATGATTCAAAGAAATTACAATTAGATTATCAACAGGCTTTTTGACAGAAACATTTTTATATGTGAAGAAAATAGAGTGAAGAATTTAAGATTAGAAAAGAAAGGAAATCCAGGGTGGCTGAGATTGGGGTTGACCTGCAGCATGAAGACCCTTTGGGGACGCCCTCTGTTTCTTGTTCTCTGCCTACCTGAATAAATAAACAAATAAATCTTTAAAAAATCTTGAACCAAGAATTTTATATACAAGACAATCAGGTTTATGAGAGCACTTCAAAAAGTGTGTGGAAAACTGGAATTAAAATATGAGTTTCTTTTGGTGCAAAAAATTTGGAATTCATACATGTTTTTTTTATATATATGTAATACACATTTTCTATAAAAAGCCATACACTGCTATCCATTCAGGAACCCAGGGAACGTTGCTCCCATGAGCCCTTCCTGAGGAATCCCTTGGAGAAAGTCAGACAATGAAATGACTAGAGAGACATGGACGTCACCACTAGTGGTGAGCGTTAATGCTGAGTTACTTCAAGAGTTGAGACTAAAGGGAGAAGGGAAGATGGATAGTGGCTATGTGCCCTTTCAGTGAAGTTACAGGAGAATAACACCAGGCAGACAATAAGCAGATGACATTAAAAAAAAAAAAAAGAAAAAGACAAAAACAAAGACTAACTCTCAAGTGACTAGCAACAAGATGCAACTTTGTTTACCATGCGTTGGTAGAAAAGATCAAAAGTAACTGTAGAAGGATTTTTTAAGAGTTTACCGCTTCTCGATCAAGAGCATCTTGGAAATCTTTAAGTCGTCTTTCCTCATATTGTTTTTCTCTGAAAATTCGGTTTTGCCATAAGACTTCCTTCTCGTGCCGAACATGCATGAGCTGCACAGCGATCCTGCGCTCCTGCTGGGACTGCCGCATCAGTCTGTTAATCAGCTGCTCCTCCCGGTAAGCTTCCTGCAGACACCAGCATAAGAGACAAAGATGTGTCAAAGCCATATCCAAATTTCCCCTTGGGCTATGAAACCCACCTATAAATAATGTATAAGAGGCATAATATTCATCTGAATTATTTTCTGCAATTTGATTTAAATTTAGACATGATAAAATCAAGTCGTAAAAGTAATTTTCAACAAAAGAATCATTTTGGCATCTAGAAACATTATGGTCTTGGAGCTGGCAGGTGGAGTGGTGGTTAAGGATGCTGGACTCCCATGTGGCCAACCACGGTTCAAGTCCTGGACCTGGCAGCTTGCTTTCTCACTTTCCCTTCCCCTCCCATCTCTTTGTCCCTCTCTGGTCAAATTAAAATAAATAAATAAATAAATAAATAAAGTCAAATAAATTAATTCTAAAAAAAAAAAAACAAAACATCATAGTCTTGCAGCTCACCATGACTTCCTTTAAAATCTCATAAAAATAAATTAGGTGATTTTAAAGTAAGTTTTATAAACAAACAGCTTGATTCTCAATTTATAAGCATGTTTTCAGAAATCTGGAATTGTCTTATATGCATCCTTGTGATAAATATTAGTTGTAAGACAAGTGCAGACATTGTCCAGCTGAAGATGGTGGATCTGATTAGTTCTCAGTGAGGACATTTCAATGCCCATGTGAGGAAAAACTGGAAACGTGTAGAATGTGAAAACTGGAGAAGATGCTAAAGAGAAATTACCGACTCCTTATCTTAGAAAATCTGAGTGATCCTAATCTGAAAGAGAAACTAGATATGGTCTTGGCTATTTGAAGAGAATAGAAGAGGAGCCAGTAAATAAACAGTAGGGAAAAACAAACAAACAAACAAACAGAGAAAAACATTTACCTGGGAATCAGAACACCTGGATATTGCAACCCTAGTTGTAATATTAAGTGGTTGTGTGGTCTTGGGCAAGTAAATCAAGTTTTTCAGGTATATTTCTTGGCAGGTAATGTGAGAAGTTTGGATAGAAACCTTCAAGTCTCCATCAAGCTCCCTCACTCTGTCTAAACAGAGACATCGTGTGGAAAGAGGAGGTAATTATAGTACTCAATGGGGAAGACTTAGAAGAATATCTAAACATTAGAGTTTTCCATTTCATACTCAGCAAACTAATGATTTAGGAATAAAATCTGTCATTATTAATAAGTGTTTCAAATTATCTCTCCCACTCTAAGATTACAGGAGACATTATATTTCACAAAACAATAACATTCTGTGGTAAATGCTGAAACCTGAATCTGGGAATTAATTAAATTATTTTAAAAAATAGACACTCCCCCCCACCCAAGTGTTTTGCTACTGTTGTTGTTTTTAGCTGATGTCCCATTGGTCAATTTAAGATGTTCCATTGGTAAATTCAAATGAATGGTTACCCCATACTCCATATTTAAAATGGAAGCAAGAATAGGAAATTACTGTTGAATGACTGAACCAATGTTATATATAAGGAGTCTTTAAACACTTAATAGAAAATGCATATTATGGGACCAGCAATTAGTGTAATGGCTATATCGCTGGACTCCCATGTAGTTGACCGTGGTTCGAGTCCTGGACTCAGTGGCATAAACTCACGCCTGATGCGTGTGCGTGCGTGTCCAAGATCCCGAGACGAGAATGGAGAATTTTATATGGCCATCCCCCCCTGGGGGGTGATTTCTCACTTTCTGTCTGTCTGTCTCTCTCTCTCTCTCTGTCTTTCTGGTGAGCTCACGCGACCCATAGCAAAAACCTCTCAGAAAAAAAAAAAGGAAAATGCATATTATAAAAAAAACTATGTATGGATTTCAAAATTTTTTGCATTAAAATAAATTTGTACTTTAATTATATTTTTCTGTAGACATTTTGAAGTCCTTTCATGTATGAAGAACCAGCAAATGTATTAAGACCTGTACCTAAAAGTTTAGTAAAAAAGATTTATTTTTGTTCTATTCATGTTTTAGACATAGACTGTTCTTCAAAATTAGAATGCAAGATTGTTTTTTCCTCATCGAAATAAAGATATAAGTTATAGTTAGGTGCTCAGGGTAGCCTAAAGATGTCCATCTCACCTAGAACATACATGAAATATTCTGTATTTACGATGGATAAAATGGAAAATAGTAGAGGACATGCTTCTGTTTTAACTCTATTTACCATGTGTGGAGGATTGAGACAGATATACGATCCAGGACAGTCTTAATTTGATTGCCATTTACTCTATTTCTCCCATGAGCCGGAGCTACTGTGGTCTAGGACCATTGCCTAATTCTGCAAAGATGCCTGAGCAGCTCCCACAGAACAGTGGGAAACTACAGGAAAGACACAAAAGCTAAGTATTCAAGGGTCTTTTAGTTTAGAAATGAGGGATGGATCTGGGGTCCAAATGCCAGCCCCAAGGAAATAGCATAGAAAAGGTTCTTAGAAGGCAGAGACAGCTGTCAAGATGCTAGCCAAATGACCACAGAGCCAGGTGACATGTGATCATGTTATTTATGTATTTATTTATTTATTATGTGAGCTAGAAGTAAGTTTATTTGAGCCAAGGTTTAGGATGAATTACCCAGATGTGCACATTTCTAACATCCAAACCATGTGCTCTTCAAAATGGTGACCCAGAGAACTTGTTTAAATAACAAAGAGAAAGGGCAGAAGGGGTGGAGCTTACAACATTGTTTGGCAAAAGTTTACAGTTGTTTATTTAAAATAATGTTATTTTTAAAGTCTAAAAAAGTTTTAAAATATTATGTTCCTATCCAAATATCTCTACTTAAATGCCTGTGATGTACTTTAAACTCAGGTCCAAAAGTAAACTCACTAACTCCCCTACAGACCTGGTCCTCTCGCCTATTTTTCCATCTCAGTTGATGACCCTATAATCTGCGATGGCCATTCCATGATCAAAAACATTTGGGTCATTCTAAATTCATTCCACTTTTATCATCCCTAATAGTCAATTCTTTAAAGCAGTCTGTTGTTCTTCGTCTTATGTTTTTGAACTACTCCTTTACTAGCTTCTATTTCCACTGACACCATGTCTACCTTGGACAACAGTCCTTCTCTACCACACCTTCCCTAACACCCTTACTTTCAAAATAAATCTTTTAAAAAAAATCAAAGTGATCTTTTGGCTATTCATATGTCATATGAAAAAATGTTCCACATCCCTCATTGTAAGGGAAATGAAAATCAAAACAACATTGAGATACCACCTAACCCTGGTCAGAATGTCTAAGATTTAAAAAACAAAAAATGATAAGTGTTGGCGGTGGTGTGGTGAAAGGGGAACACTTTTACACTGCTGGTGGGAATTTAAATTGGTCCAGCCACTGTGGAGAACAATTTGGAGATTCCTCAAAAATCTACAAATAGAACTACCATATGTCCCAGCAATCCCACTCCTCGTTATCTACCCAAAGGACAGAAGAATTCTTAATTGGAAAAGTGCTTGCACATTGATGATTATTGCGGCACTATTCACGATTGCTAAGACATGGAACCAACCCAAATGCCCCCGAATGGAGGAATGGATTGAGAAACTGTGGCACATATACTCTATGGAATACTATTCAGCCATAAAAAAACAACATAATCCTGGCTTTTGACAAAAAGTGGAAGAATATGGAAGATTTACTGCTGAGTGAAGCAAGCCAGGTTATGAAGGAGAGACACTGTATGTCCCCACTTAATATATACCGAATATCTGTGCTCTATGACTGAAACTGATTGACCTAAGGTTATACAAACACAAGAGATGGGGGTTAGTGCCAGAAGTGGGGTGTGTGGAGAAGAGGGACATAAGGAAGTACATTTGGAGGAGGGATACGGAGACAGAGCATTGACGGGATGGGGAGGTATGGTGTTATTGGTGGAAGATATTCTGATCAACTGGACTGGGGAGAAATGTTCACATATTGAAATGTTCACTTTGTAAGCTAAATAATATGATTGAATGTATATAAAAAATTAAAATAAAAAAAATCAATGTGATCTTTCTAACCTTAAGTCTCATCATCTCAGTCACATAATTGTACTTATTTATGAATCACTAGAAAGATATCAACTTGAGCATAGGTCTCTGGTTCACTTTTCACCAGCCAAACTAAAATGAGGGTATGTAAACTCTAGAGGAAAACTACAACACTCAAAAGATAGATATTTCTGATAAATCCAGTGCAAAAAGATCCAGAAAAAAAGCATATATGGCTGTCAGGGGGTTCATGCAGTACTTCTGAAAAGTAGTGGGTACCAGAAGAAAATAGAGGAAATCCTAGCTCCCTGAAACAAAACAAAACAGAACAAAACAAGACAAAATAAAATGAAACAAAACATTGTCTCTTTGGAGGAGAGACAGATGGAAGGGAACCAGGCCATCTTGAAGAAGAATTTTCCATTCCACTACTGTGGACCAGTATCACTGTGTCAGCTGCCCAGGGAGGCTGGATACCCAATGGAGAGGAGATGGTGTGAGTGGAGGCCCCTTCCTGCATGCCCGAGGCCTGATTCTGGGAATAGCAACTTCCCCAAACATGGAGAAGAAACAGCATGAAATGGGGTTCCCATGATAGAAATATCTAAAGCTCTGATTTTTTTTTTTTAATGCCCCTTAGGTTGCTGGATTCCCAAAAATGTAAATAAATTTCCAGATACAGTTTTAAAAATGCAAAGCTAATAGCACCCTAGTAGAAAGTGAGGAAAACCAGAGTTTATTTACCCCATTTTCCAGGTAAATACCAGGCCTAGATTTTAACCAGAAAAACAGTAGGGGAAAAAAAACAAAAAGCTTGCCTCTAAGACACAAATAGGTTGTAACATAAATAGAAATGTGTCCAAAAATTCCATTCCATTCAAAGTAATAAACCTTGAAATGGGCAGTTACTTTAAAATATACTTTTTTTTTTCAATTACCTAATTTTTATAACAGGTAATTCTTCTAATTAAAAGGGATATTTTATCAAGTTGACTTAGTAAAGATATAAAAGTGAATCTGAAGAAATAATCTTCTAGCACAAGGTGATGTCCAGAGTTATTCTTTTGAGTTTTTCACTAAGAAAGAGGTGGAATCCTTGGTTAAATAATTTAGCTTCTTCATAATATATGGAGACTCTATTTCTGTTCAGTAAATAGAACCACTGAGCAAACCAGATGTGATTAGGTCCAGATGTGATTAAGTGACTTTCAGAAGCATCTTCAAATGGTCTTTCATATTTCAGACATACAGACCTGTCCTACTCACAACTGAAGTACTTTCCTCCCCAAATGTGTTCCTTTTACCATCTTCCTTATCCCAGCAAATAACTCCTCTGTCCAATAGGTACACAAGCTAGAAATGTAGTTTTTCATCTCATGTTTTCATTCTTCCATGTCTAATAAATCATTAAATCCTATTGATATTTCTAAAGCAGCTCTTGAAATCACTTTTCTCAATCCTCATTGCCACTACCCTCAACTGAAATGAGAATGATGTCTCAGCTGGACTGCAGCCACAGTTACATTTTCTTTTGTCTTCATGTAATCTATTCTCCAAACTAAAACCAGACTGACTTTTTTTTTTTTTTTTTGAGAGATTTTTCGCTATAGGGCGCGTGCGCTTGCCAGACAGACAGAGAGAGACATAGAGACAGAAAGCGAGAAATCACCCCCCGGAGGGATGGTCACACCGCAATCCCTTCTCCTCCACTCTCCTCTTGGGAACTTAGGCACGCACGCACGCGCATCCAGCATGAGTTTAAGGCACCGGATCTGGGACTCAACCCGTGGCCGACTACATGGGAGTCCAATGACATAGCCGTTACGCTAACTGCTGGTCCCACCAGAGTGACCTTTCTAAACACAAATCTGACCAGGCCTTTCTCATTCCTCTTCGTATTCAAATAGAAAAATTGCAAAATCTGCTATTTCCTTCTATATGTAATAGTTTATAAGGCTCATGATGACGTAGCCTCTGGGGACCCCGGCCTGATGGGACCACTTTTACTTGCTAAGGCACTGGGACTCTCCATGTGATACTCTCTCCTCTGGAATCACACTTCACTTTCCATTATTCTGGCCTCCCTGGGAAACTGCCCAGCACGTGGAGTCCATCACGGCTGCCCTCCTTCAATGAGGTAATGCCCGAGCCTGCTGCAGGTTTCTGTTACCATCCTCCAAACGCTGCTCATGAACCAAGCTGGGTGGACTGCCTCCTGCCTCACAACCCCCCTCTCCCACAGCACCTTTACAGCACGGTGTAAAGTCCTTGTCCTTTACAGCACAGTCCAGGTCCTTGCTTGTTTATAAGCTCCTTCCCTAAACATGAAATACTTTTTTCTCTATCCTCTTCTCTTCACTTACCCCATTCCACACTGTCCTATTCTCATTAAGTACCTTCACTGCTTTTATGTCCTCCAATTTTTTGCTCTCTATCATAGAGTGCGGATAGTCGGTATATATTGAGTAGATACATACAATATCTTTCTTTCATAGCCTGGCTTACTTCACTCAGCAATAGATCCTCCATATCTGACCACTTTCTATCAAATTCCAGGGTCTTGTTATTTTTTATGGCTGAATAGTATTCCATAGAGTATATATACCCCACTTTTCCAATCCATTCATCAGTTTGTGGACATTTAGATTGGTTCCATGTCTTGGCAATTGTGAATAATGCTGCAATAAACATGGATGTGCAAGCACTTTTCTGACTGAGCGTTCTCCTGTCTTTTGGGTAAATACCCAGGAGTGGGATTGCTGGATCAAATGGTAGTCCTATTTGTAGATCTTTGAGGAACCTCCATATTGTTCTCCACAGTGGTTGAACTAGTTTACATTCCCACCAACAGTGTAGGAGGGTTCCCTTTTCACCACATCCCAACAGCAAACTCTGTGAGCCGGTTTCTTTCCTTCTAGCCTAATGTGTTTCTTTTGCCAAGCACAAGCACTCAGGGCACAGAGGAGTTTCAGTAAATATGTGTTTGAGGTACAGGTGGACTGGTGATTCTCAAATGGTAGCTGCACCAGCATCCTATAGAGGGTCTGGTGACAGGGTCACAGCACCCTCCCCAGACTGTCCCTCAGGGGTGGAGCTATATAATGCAGATTTCTGAAAGGTGCCAGGGAATGTTGGTGCTGCAAGTTCAGGAACCACACCTTGAGAATCAGTAGAATGAACTAAGGAACAGATTGAGAAGATGAACAACTTTAATGTGTTATTTTCCTTAAAAAGTTCCCTTCTGCCTCTGAAAGTAACAATAGTTACTTGGCTGACAACTGATTTTAGATTCCTTTTTTTCTGTCAGTATGTTTTTTATGTGATAAAATATATATAACATAAAATGTACCATGCAACCGTCTTTAAGTATTGATACTGATTTTAGATTCTTTTTTGGTGGAGGTCAGTTTTTTTTTTTTAATTGTGGTAAAATATACATAACAAAATTTATCATTTCAATGACTTTAAATTGTACAATTTGGTGATATGAGCATATTGATAATTTTGTGCAAACCTCACCAAATTTTAGATTTTTTAGTAAATAGATAAGGGTTGTTTTTCCCTAAGTATGTTTACTAAGTATGTTATGCTACTCAGTACATTTTATAAAATTCCCAGCAGTATTCTTCGGCCGGCACTCAAGTCTCTTACCTCTTGTGCTTCGTGGGCTATTAACTGGTCCATTAACAGTCTCCGCCGTCTTTTCTCCCTTTGCTCTCGTGCAAACGCATCTTCTTCCAGGCGCTTCTGGATTTTTTTAATGTACTCATCATCTGAGTAGGTGTTTAACAAATCGGTCGTCATCTGGCCCGCTGTATCTAAAGAAGTCTTGGATACACTAAGAAACAGTAGTTTTTATTTTAGACTTAAAAAAAAAAAAAGTGAACCCATGTCACTATTTGTGACTGTGGAGACAGATCTCAGAAGAAGCTCCCTTGAGATCTCTGCTAATATAGTAATGGAAGCATTAAGGCACACTTTAGAACTCCAGTGTGGCATCTGTCTGTGGCTTATCAACAGATTCCATTTACTTCGCGCTATTTCTGCACTCTGTCTCTGTAAGGTGTTAGCATATCCTTTTCTCTAAGTGCATCGCCTTTTTATTCTTTCACTTTTTATATCTTCACTACTCAGAGACTAAATTTCTTCCCCTCTTTTTCCTGCTGGCTCTGGGTTTTCGCCTTTCCTGTTTGGAGTCAACAGTAGGCAGACTATTGATAGCTCAAATGTCAGGGAAGGCGCATGTTACAACAGGAGGCCAGGTACACAAATGACAGGTCACTAGAGAGAATTTCTATGAATGCTCCCATCCACTATCACTCTCTACTCACTTATTGAAATGCAAGTTACTCTATAAACTCCCAGATAAATTTCTGACTGTGTGGGACAACAGCTCTGCTCTTCTCAGGGGCTCAGCAGTTGAAAGCTGACTTGCTTCACATGTCACACCTGCAAGCCCAGGTCTCACCTGGGGTCTTGCCCAAAACTCTAATGAGAAGACTGACCTCAGGGCCCCTGCTCTACCTTGTGCTCAAGACAAAGGATCAGAAAGAGCCTCATAGTCCTCCCAACAGAAAATAAACACTTCACTTCCAGAGGTAACTAGCTTAGGGATTTTAGCTGCTGTAGGTCCTATCCCCCTGCTCAGAGAAGTGGGGGTATCAGTATCTCATGGCCCTTTAATGGGAAATCTCTGGTAGGACTAAATGTAGGCTTTTGTGAAAAAAAGAACCTGTAAGAGACACTATTTGCATTTCTTTCCCTCAAAACTGAGCCTCAGTTTTATTCAGAGAAACAACGTACCCAGCTAAAACTGGTACTTCCCTGTCACCGATTCTATGTGCAATCATAAGACTGAATTTTGGCCAATAAGCTATAAGCAGAAATGTTACATGGGCCATCTGGAAAGGCTTTTAAAAAGAACTATTTCAGACAAGAGATATCCACTTTTTGCATGTCCTTTCTGATGCTGGAGTAGGGGCCAAATGACCAGAGTCCTGGAAGCCATTTTGTATAATGAATGTGACCTTGAAGATGACAACCAAACAACAGGGTAGTGAAGCAAATGTATAGTAAGGAGAAGCCTTATCCTTGATGACCTTGGAGATACAATGGACGTCCCCCCCCCCTGCCCCCGTGGGCTGCTTATGTTCCAATTTCTATTACATGAGAGGGAAGTAAATGTCAATGTAATTCTCTGTTTTTCTGGGATTTTTAAGACTAACTGATAAAGACCTAGGTTAGTTTGTCAAAGGCAATAAAGATTACTGTAAATGTTTGCAGCTGTGCTGTACAGGGATGCTCTTTAAAACATTTAATAACTGACATGGCAAGGATACTAATCAATATAAATGGTTCCTGGCACAGAGCTTGGAAGGCACTGTTGTACTTGGTGCTGATTTTAGCTGTTAAATTGAGTAGAAATGAAGGGTCCCAGGAAAGGGGCTGGTTGGAGAGCTACAGAAAATCATTCACCAACAAGTAACAGGGTATTTCAATATTTTAAGAAGGTTTTTCCTGTGGACACCATCTGTTTACCACCATAGGATATGTGGCTGATAAGGGAAGTGTAAGAGTCAGAAAAAATTGAATGGTATCATGGACAAAGGTCATGACAGATATGGTGGAGTTTGCGTGGCAGCTACATGGGTGAATATACAAGGATTATGTTGTTATTAGGGCCAGGAACAACATTGATAAATGGGACTGGGATCATTATAGGGCTATAGAAGTTTCTGCAAAGGTAGGAGGAAAGGAAATGTACATATTCTCCATTTTACTTGACTTTCATTCCACATCTGTCTTCTTCACCATTGCTTTATTATGGATTTTTCTTATTTCTCTTCATTTCATTTTATTCTATCCCTTCCTTCCTTCAGAAATATTCTTATGAAATTGAAATACATACTTTTTTACCCAAATTACTTCTTTTATCAGGGATTTATTTAAAATTTCATAAGATGTAAACAAGTAGAGTTTGGATAGTTTTCATTTAGAAATGAAGATTGACTTACATTGTTCTTACATATGGATTATTTTCTGTGAATCAGAGACCTCCAAAGGAGGCCAGGGTAAGAGATCTGCATCTTTTAGCAAATGAAGCCTATTAACCAGTCATGTTTTATGAACTCATCAAACTGACTGTCTTAGGGAAATTCTGTCAGTGAACTCATTCAACAGCTAGTTATTAATATTTCTGGTCCCTGTGCTCAATGCTGAGTACGCAACATGAGGGAAAACAAACTAGAATTGAATAAAATCTTTACTGTGAAAAATTTTAGTTAACGGTAACTTGAGACGATTCTGGTGCAAGTTTAATAAATGTGTGTGAACTCAGCACAATAAGCATAACTTAGCAAAATCAACTTCACATTTCATAATAGCCACTTTCTAGTTAGATCTTTATCAAAGTTGTTAATGATTCGTTTGAATTTTAGCTCATTTATCTTTCCTCATATAGGTTCTTAGTGAAGATTCTCCAAAGTGAAGAGATTCCTTGAATAGCTATTTGAGATAAACTATTTCTAAACATTCAAAAACTATGTGTCAAACAAAATGTGGTTTTGTGATTATTAAAATAGTTTACACCCACCTTTCTTTTGCCTGGAGGTCCTTTTTTATTAGGGCTTCAAACTTCTTAATTTCATTGGCTACATCCTTTAAGGAAAATTCATCAGTTATCTGCCTCTAAAAAACCACTGAAATTCTTTATTTATCATATTCATTTAAGTTTATAAGGTGAAATGCACCCTTCCAAATAATTAGGATACAAATTATAAAAAGTTGCATTCTAGAATATTTTCATAATTCTGATTTGCTGCTTTTAGACTTGGCTAATTATATCTAATAAATGTGCAAAATCATCTAACCTGAATCACCTAGTTCACAATTCTAACCTTGACAGTGCATCAAAAGGAATTTAATCAGAACAAAGTTTATCAAATAGGACATAATTTTTTGAATATAAGTATTTATTTAAAAGTGTCACATTGTGTGTTTTAAATATTCTTCATGCAAACTTATTTATATTACTGATGTTTCCTTTGAAAATTAACTTTGTCTCATCTTACAAATCTTTATTAAAAACTTTAATTGGGTCAAGTTTCCTTTGAAAATTAACTTTGTCTCATCTTCATATATTATCAATCTTTATTAAAAACTTTAATTGGGTCAGCAGATGGCATAGTGGTTACATAGCGTGGCTGGATTCCCACATGGCCAACCATGGTTTGAGTCCCAAACCTCTTGGGTGCATGTCAGTGAATACCCAAGATCCCAGGAAGAAAATGAAGAAGAAGGGAAGGTGGTATGACCATGTCCCTTGTGAGGGTAATTTCTCACTTTCCCTCTCACTGTTTCTGTCTCTCTCTGGCTAGTGTATGCACCCTAAGGCAAAATCCTCTTAAAAACAAAAACAAAAACAACCTTAATCTACCCAGGGACAATTAAATACTAAAGCAGGGCCAGAAAAAAGTTCTATAAGTGATCTTTTTCTAAAATTCAAGTACAAGATAACTTCATTCATATCAATAAATGTGGATTGGGACCAGCAGTAGGCATAATGGCTATGTCACTGGATTCCCCATCCAGTGGCTTAAACTCACACCAGGCATGTGTGCGTGTGTGCCCGAGATCCTGAGAGGAGAATGGAGGAGAAGGGACTTTGGTGTGGCCATCCACCCTGGGGAGTGATTTCTCACTTTCTGTCTCTCTGTCTTTGTCTGTCTTTCTGGCAAGCGTGCATGCCCAATGGCAAAAACCTCTCCAAGAAAAAAATAAAAAGTGGATTAGCATAAAATACAATGGATGTAGAAATCAGATAGATATGTTGATTTATGATGCTACTTTATTAGCACCTTAATCCTCGAATAAACAAGATAGTATTTTGGGTCTCTGTCTCTTTAAGTACAAAATGGGGAAAACAATACCTTACCTAGACAGTTATTTAAAAATTAAAAATAACTGGGATCAAAGATGGAGTAATGATTATGTCGCTGGACTCCCACATAGCAGACCACAGTTCGAGTCCTGGAGCCAGCAACTTAAATCTCACAGCAGCCCATGTGTGTGCATGCTCAAAATCTTGAAAGGAGAATGGAGGAGACGGGATTGTGGCATTGTTATTCCCCGTGGGGAGTGACTTCTCACTTTCTATCTTTCTGTCTCTCTGGTGAGTGCATGCACCCAGTAGCAGAAATCTCTCATCTAAAAAATGATAAAAGTCCAGCAAGTGGTATGGTACTTAATGCACTGGACTCCCACATGCCCGACTACAGTTTGAGTCCTGGACCTGGCCGCTCGCTTTCTAACTTTCTCTCTCTCTCTCTGTCTCTCTCTGGTGAGGATATGCACCTGATAGCAAATTGAAGAAAAATCATGGTAATAAATAAAATTAAGTTAATAATTCTTAAAAAATAATGAAAGATAATGTGAAGTGCCCAACCTGCACCCTGACATACAGTAGATATTCAATAAATGGTAGCTATTATTCTTAGATTACATGGGAAAATATCAACAATCATTGGAGTAGCATTGCAATGTAGAATTCAGAAGGTAATATCAAAATGTAATATTTCCCTCTATGATATATAATCCGATTACATCCTATTGGAATGACTTAAGGTATGGTCTAATAAAATATCGTTAGTGTCAGTATCTTAAATTCCAACACCGTATACTGATGGCAATGAGCCATTTAACATTCCTGGGATTCATAAAAAAGCAGCATTTCATTGTAAGGAGGAACCGAGTAAAGACACATAGAAGGAATGATATATATTATGGTACGTGGATCTGGAACGGGCCCTGCTGTACTCATGGCATTTTTGAGCCAGACAGCAGCACTCGTCTGACCTAGTTAGCGACCACAGAATCTTTCTGCATGTAGAAACAGACTAGCACTGCCATTTACTAGGAGTTTGTTATCCCTGGCTAAAAGCAACATTTTGTGTTTTGGAACAAATAAGAGTATAAAAGTGGAGGAATACTGCATGAGAAAGGACAAAGCCATAGATAATTTGAGAAGTTTTTGACAGTCTCTCTATCCATTTTAGAAAAAGATCATTCATTCCCTAATTTAAGACAAACCAAACACAGTATTAAAGAATTATCACTTACCTCTGCCTCTTTTTTCTTTTTCATCATTTTTTGGGCTTCAAGTGCTTTCAAAGTACGATTAGGTGCAGGTTTAGGAATTTGTATGATAGCTGCTTGAATTTTGGCCATTATTTCATTTTGTCGTCTTCTGTTTAAGCGTTGCTGGGTATCCCATATACATTAGTTTAGTTATTTGGTATATCAGAATAATCCCCACAGATACACAGATGTACAATTTATCCACAGAAATTTATCTACAGAAATTCCAGAACTTAACCAATGAGCTAGATATCATTATTGTTTAATATAAGGAAGCAGGTGTCAATATGATTTATTTTGATTTAAATGAAAAAAAAAATTTTTAGAGGTTTTTGCTATAGGGCGTGTGCACTCTCCAGAAAGACAGAGACAGAGAGACAGAAAGCAAGAAATCACCCTCCAGGGGGGATGGCCACGCCGCAATCCCTTCTCCTCCATTCTCCTCTTGGGATCTTGGGCATGTGTGCACACGCGCCAGGCATGAGTTTAAGCCACCGGGTCCAGGACTCTAACCGCAGTCGACTACATGGGAGTCCAGCAACATAGCTATTACACTAACTGCTGGTCCCAATATGATTTATTTTGAAAAGTGTGATGTTAAAATACAATTTTGAATTCCAAAATTATGTCTAAAAAATATAGATATTTTCACTTGGTGTGATGATAATAAAGGTGCTCCAAATTCAAAGAATAATATAATTCTTTCTCAGACCTATCTTCATGACCTGCCCACTCATGGGAAGAGAAAATTCCACAATTTTTTTTACAAAAATAATTTTGTCTCAGAAGATGGCCAATAGAGAAAACCCAATCTAGGAAGAGGCCTCATGGTGAACCCAATAGAAATGACAATATTGCCCCAAACCTAGTCACACTGAAACAGTGAGTTCAAAGGCTACTGTATATACTGAATTAACACTAAATTATATGATATCATTATCAGATAATCTATTCTATAAGTCATCAGTAAATATTTAAAGAATATAAACAGTAAGAATAATTAAAAGGAAAAAAAAAGCCTAAAAATCAGATAAAATATTGAAAAAATAAAAAATTTTAAGGGATAATATGTAAAACTAATCATTACTTTACTACTAAAACATATTAGAACCAATAAGATTATTAGTTCCTATGTCCAAAGATAAGAAACTTAAATTTACCATTAAAACAGCAGATAATGTAGATAATTAAAATCATTTTCACTTTGCTTTATAATATAATGAATACAGTATTTTTTTCTTAATAAAACAAAGTAGATATTGACTCTCCTTTCTTGTTTACTTCCTATAATTATTTTTAACATAATCTATTTCAGAATATTTAATGGTGTCACACTTCTTTTCCCCAGCTTTCTCTGGAGACTTTCTGCATTAGACTAGACAGCTCAAAGCTGTCCATACAGAGTCCCTGCACTGATCCTGATTTAAGCACTACTTTTAAGAGTGTTTTGTCCAGGGGAAGCATAGTCCTATGTCCTTTCTCTGGCAGGTAATAAAATCATAAGAACTTCTGAAATTTATCTCTCACCTTTTCTTCCTTCCCCACAAAAAGCTGGCTATATTGAGGATATCTTAATTTCTTAAAGTTCCAAATACAAGAATTTAAAATGTGATTCGCAAATCAATGGGAAGAACTATAATTCTTTTGCCTGTAGTTCACACATTCCATGTACCTAGATGGCTGGGTATTTTTTTCTCTTAAAAGCCTTTAATGATTCCACACACTGTTATCCTCTCATGTCCTTAAAGACACAGGAGATCATTAAAGATTTTCATAGAAATTTGAGAAGCAGCGAGAGTTAGTCAAAACAAGAAGAAAGGGCCAGGAAGAAGTTAAGAGATGCAAAGGTGGTTGGAAAAGCAAGTCAGCAGAGAATTACTCTGCATTTCTAGTAAAAGAATGACGTAGAATAGGGGGGAAAAAAGATTGCAAAAAGGGGAAAAGACAGGGAGTACAGGGGGATATCCACTCTGTCTCCCTGAGTGGTGACAAGGGTTCTAATCCCCTTCCCATTGGGGTAGCTAGTAGCAACCTCTATCTCTAAAGCAACTGAAGCATTAATTTCTACAAGTTAAAGGGATCAGGCTGTCCTACTGCTTGGAAAATGACAGTTCTTATTCTTAGCCACAAGGACAGATGACAGTTGCAAGAGAAAGGATGGAGACGAGGGGAAACGGAAGGGAGAAAATGGATGAGAACGGGGTAGGGCAAAGTCATGCATCAGAAAAATGCAACTCATGCTACATTACTGCTTATGAAATGTGTACCATAGGCATAAATCTCAAATAGTATACTAATGCACTAATGAATTTTGGAAAAAAATTGTTCAATAGAACCTTTTCGATATTACAACATCTTTGTTCTTCCTTGACTTTTTGTAATCTTTCAAGGTTCTCAAAATGCACATGAGCAAAATCTTCTTTCATTTGTTTATATTTTTCTTGGAACCTGTATGTAACCCGCATCAGATTGAAATCAGTTTGACGAGGTATCAGGTTTATAAGTCTCTAAATGAAGAAAGGATTTCAAAAGATTCTGTTACTAGAGAATAAAGAGTATACTTGTTATAATATGCACACGTAAAATTTGTCTTCAAAATAAAATTTATATGAATCATCATTATTGATCATTAAAATAAATTCAAGCCCCACACCAATCACTTGTATCTTTAATTACTGTAAGACAATTAAAAATATAGTGATTTGAATTCATCCTATTTACTTTTATAGTTTTGTTTTGCCCTGAGTTTAACTTTCAATGAATGATATTTAAATTCTTTGAAATACATTTTTACAGAAAGAATTTCATAAATCAATTTCAACATATATTAGATAACAAAAGAAACTAGATCCTTACCATTACTTAAGCCACTCCCTAGTTAAAAGTGAAGAAACAGTAAAACTCCCTAGGTTTGAGTTCTGTATCTACTGTCTACTAGCCACATTAAATTGGGCAAATTACGTAAATTCTCTGTGCCTTAGTTTTACCACCTGTAAAATGGGAATAAGAAAATGCCTATCTACTAGCACTGGTGCAAAGATCAAGTGCGATAATATACATAAGGCTCTGGAATAGGGTGTGACACACCGGTATGTACATTTTAAAAATTGCAGCAATTATTAATATTACTAGATAATAGACACTTGTATCACCCTACCTCTGGTATCAAAGAGAAAGACATCTCTACTTCTTTCCTAAAATACCTTTTCATCCACAGACACCTCTGGTGCATCCTCTTTCCTTCCCCAGAGGACCTCTTTCCAGTGAGTTCTCATACCGTTTTCTTCTTTCTTGCTATTGATTCTAACTGGCAAGTCATCCCAGTCTCTGTGTTCATAAAACAAATAAATACTCTCTTGCTGCCCTTGAACATCTCTGTCCTCAGCTGCTGTTCATATTTTCTCTTGCCCTTTACCTCTACATTTTTTGAAATCATCTATGCTCCCCTCCTCCTCATCTCTAATCTCAACTCACTGCACTCCATAGCACTCTGCTGGAGCACCCCTAAAATGTAAGCTCTCAAAGGGGTGGGCTTGTTCCTGTGTTGTTAACTGTGCAAGTACCTGACATAAAGTAGGGGTCCAAGCAATATGCGTTCAATGAAGGAATGAATGCTTCTGGAAGCTCACCCATGACCAATGTTAAACCCAACAGGCTCTTACTTGCCTTCATTTTTACAGATATTGTACCACTTTTCCTTTTACAGTTTATTATATGCTGTATATTGTCTTCTGGAAGCTACACAAAAGCCTAGCTCTGAGATTGGCAGATGTAATCATCTTTGTTTTCACAGTTGAGAAAATTGAAGCTCAGTGTCTCAGGGTCTGATTCAAAGTTAATCAGGCTGCAAATGTCGAAGGCAGCTAACTATTGAGTTGTCAGGCCTTATCTCAGTTCTAGCTCTTCAAGGGTTCTGAGTGCATTCTACTACCAGGATTATAAGAATGTTCACTAAAAATAGACAAATCTGAACATAGAAGTGCCCCTTGCATCCATATTATCATTGTTTCATAAATTGAATTAAAACATATAGTTATCTTTATTTTTATTTAGTTCTTTGCATCAGTGCAGCATGCACCATTATCCCAGAGTCTTGGGAGGGTTAATGCACTTCATTTACCATAAGGAAATAACATAGAAACTAGAGAAAATCATTAGCTAACAAAAATCGTATCCACTAATCAGAACACACATAATGAGTATTTGCAATATTCAACGCATTGTACTGGACATACTCACTGACCTTGAGGTGTTAAAAATCTTGTGCTCTCATGACAAATAGATAATGAATAGCTAACAATATCAGCTTCAAGTGGCTAACACGAGAGAGTGAGAATTACCTGTGCTCTAGAAGTTATAAAGGAGGAATATTTGTGTACTGGGAAGGCAGCGCAAAACTAGACGAAGAAAAAATTGAGGAAGAGAGAAGCAGAGTGAATTTGGGTGGAAGGGAGTGAAGTGTAGGAATATACCAGTCACCTTCAAGGTCACACTGCCGGTCAGTATAGAAGACAGCCTTTATGCTGAGGTCTATGAAGAAATAGAGTCAGAAGAGACAGGTTGAGACAATTTAATGAGTGATCTTGAACATAGGCTTAATTGGAGAGCAGATGTATGTAAACAGAAAGTTGTAGAGCAGAACATTCAATGACAGTGGAACGTAGGGGAGATCCATTTGGCAGTAGATTGACCTCTAGTAAAAAGCTGGGAGATCAAGAGACATGTGAGCAGGTGGCTGCAGTAGCTCATAAGGAGATTTAAACAGGTAGAAATGGAAGGGTAGAAATGGAAAGAGAGGGAGGAATAGGCATAAAAAGTACAAGAAATTAGTAATAGCACTTCATAAACTACCAGCAATGTGGATAGGATGGAGAGGGACATCAAAAATAGAGGAACTCAAGACACTAATATAAAATAAAACCCAAGTATGGTCAGCGATACACAGAAGAGACACATGTCCAGGGGGCTCTTTCAGGATGCATTATCACTGTCCTTTCTCTTCACCATCTTTTACATTGGGACATGCTTGTTATATTTCTTTATGTACTTACCTCACGAAAAGCTTCAGTTTTCATGTTCTGAAGTTTTAAATTTGTCAGGGGATTCATGGTTTGTATTTCTAATCCAGTCAATCCACTTTTCTTCTTTTTCTGAAGAGCAATGTACAATTGATATAAAAGTTTTGTTGCTGCCCCAGGCTTCTCTGTAATGATGTTGTGGACCACAGTTTGATCAAATTGCACACCCAGAAGATGAAGTGTTGGCTCCAGTCGAGAGAAATTGTTAAGTTTGGCACTCGAAACCCTGGACATTAAAATATTTTACGTAAGTACATACATACTGGCATTGATTTAAAAAGAAACAAAAATATCAGAGGTTTTATGATCCAATATTATGAAGTACTCCATGTACTTTCAAATGGGTCAGTCCTCTCTAAAACTACTCAGCAATGTTACTTATATTGAGAATTTTTATTGTCCCCATCTATCGGAACTCCATACACGTATTTCTCTTAAATGGCTAAACTAAAACTCCTAAGTTTAATACACTTATCTGCTCTAAATTGGTGATAAAATTTCTATAGAAAGTCAAACAAAAATAAGTAACCAAATGCTCTCTTCTAAATGCAAATATTTAACTGTGATTTTGACAGTTTACTCAGAAAGTAAAATTCCAATTAAACTGTACATTTCTTTGAATGATATCATTGCTAGAGTCTGAAAATCATCCCAAATGTTGTGCTGACAATTCTAATAATAATCCTTTCAGACACTGCCAGTAATACTTAACTAAATAATACTACCTGTATAATCAAATTAATTATTTAATCTTCTGTATATAGTTCATATTATTACTTTTGAAATCAGTAAGGGCTTTTCAATTAGAAATCATATTTATTTTTGAATAATCTATTATTAAATTAGGCTCAAATTTTAGAAAAATTATTAATGCATTCATTTATTAATTTATTCTTTCAATTAACAAATGTTTATTGAATAACCACTATATAACATGGATTTGATCATGTATTAAATTTAATAAACTTGCTAAAGTGTTACAAAGATAAATAAGATGCAGTCCCTACCATTAAGGGGTTCAAAATGGGAAAAAAATTTCAAACAAGTAAACAAGTATTAATAAATGCTGTAATAGATATCTCAAATGGCCAAAGCTATCAATAAGCCAGTGAATCTAATGACAGACAGAAGGCAAAAGATGTTGAAAGCATTTTCAGTTTGTGGGAGGCTTTCTGATAAAACTGGATACAATATCACTTTTAACATTTTATCCATTGGCTTATTTTCTCCCTACTTTAACTTGTAACAATCAGTGACATTCTTTAATGGAAAAAATACCTAAATAAATACACTTAAATATAAATGAAAATCCTACCTGCTTGTCACCAAAAATGATAACACAAAACACAGGGAGTTACCATATATCTGAGTGCCTACAGAATTTTTAATATTATACAGGGATTCATTCAATTACTTAATTATCGACTACAAAATTATCTGGGGAAGACACCATGACCTCATGTAAATATTTATGAGTTTATAGAAATCGTTAATGCCTAAAACTTTGTATAGAATTCCTACTATACTATCTCTCAAGAGATTGCTCCCAAGTAGTGGTTCTAAGCCTTTTTTTTTTTTTTTGATTACAGATAACTATGAAAATCTGATCTGAGAACTATGGAAGTCTATACATATACACAAAATGTCTATAACATTTTAGGGAGTTTTCAAACCTCTTAAAATCTAACCTAGAAGTATCCAGACTTGAAAAGGAGGTGGGGCTGGGGAACATTTGGAGTGATTTATATATATTAATAAGGAGCCAGTATTATGAAAAGGACATTGTCAACAAAAATTATGACATGATACCTTGAATACACTTTCCAGTCATATGGGGTCACTTACTGCCTCATTTCTGCTGTTTATTGCACTTTTAATAGGAGTACTTAATAATGTATAGTTAGTAGATTATACTACATTAACTAAACTTTGAATTAAATATTTTAATTTAATAAAAGAGAAACAGGCCTGAAAGAAGACAAAAAGAGATACCACATGGTACGAGGAAAACTTCTCAACAATAGAAAGTGTACATAGGGAGAATTTACTGCTGAGTGAGGCAAGCCAGTGAATGAGAGACATTGTATAGCTCCACTTAACAAATACCAACTGCCCATACTCTATAGTGTGGACATAGAAGCATGAAAAATGGTTGTGGATTTTGGAGACATTGTGGGAAGATGGTGGAAGAAGGGGAAGAGTGTGAGGAAAGAAATTAAGGAGAAAAGTAGAGAGGCAAGATATTTATGAGACACAGAAATGGGTTATTATCTGTTGATAATAATGTCCATAGTATCCTAAACTGGATTGGTGTGAAGTGTATTCATGCTGGATAAATTCACTTTACTAGCTAAGTAATGTATAGTGATTGAACGTATAAAATAAAATAAGAGTAAACTTTTTTTAAAGGTCTTCTCATGTCCATTTTTGTATTTTGTTTGTCCGCAAATAATGTAAGGTTTGAGACAACAAACACTTGCCTAAAATGACTAGAGTGAAACAGACTATGTTACAGAGGATGACTGTGAAAAAAGTTGAACAAACAATATATGCTTATATTCATTGTACAGGCACCTTGGACTCCATTTTCATCTTCCATTGCAGTTGTACTTTCATGCCCTTCAGCACAAGGTTCCCATGTACCTTGCCTACTATATATATTTGGAAAGATAGAGACTGAGATCCACTTGTCAGGGGTTTTGATCTGGGTTATAACCTTGGGCTCCAGAAGTTAAGGGCACCATTTTTTAGGAGGGAGAATTCAAAAGCAAAGATTACCCACTTTCAAATCTTATCAAAGCTTAGCCTTACACCCAAGAAAAGGAGAGAATATTTCCCCTTCTTCTCACTCGTATTACATGGCCTTTCAGAATGTGGTATAGTCTGTTAATATTAAAGTTCAGAGCCAGCCCCATAGTGCAGTGATTAGGTATTACACAGAAGAAGTCAGATACTGAAGTCAGACGATGATATATCAGTTTATATATATATATTTATACACACACATATATATATACACACACACATATACACACACATATATAGTTATATATAATATAAAATATATAATTATATATGTATATATATTACATATATACACTTTCAGACATTGCACTATAGTTATATATATAGTTACATATAAATGTATAACTATATATGTACTTCATATTTATACATATTGTATAGTTCAGTTACTTACTAGATTATTTTTTTAATGGCTTTTATAGACTGGCCAAAGTGCCCAGGTATAATAATACTTCTCTCTGAGGTTTTTATGTATGACCCAAATTTCAAACTAATTCAAATTTGGGGAACATAACTTGTGTGTAAATTGATGGAATTGGTGTAAATCAAACTGTTCTTGCAAAATCCTGTGCACAATCAGCACAATAGGATCATCAACAGTTGTTTTTGAACGCAGAAAATCTACTGGGACACCTTTGCTCTGGAGACAGAGCATATGATGTAAATGATGATCTCTGAGGGAATAAAAAAATGTATTCTGGGAAAAAAAACTTCTTGCAATTCTATTTGCCAAGGGACTGCCTATCTCTTCTTCTTGCCAATTGGTAAGGGAATATATCTTCTTGCAAGCTAAGAAGAAGCTGCCCTCCCAAGAATATTATTGCTTAGATATTTATTTCATTTTAACTAATCCGCTTATTTTTTATCCTTTGGGACGGACTAAACATATTTTAAAACACATAACTATTTAGAGTTCCATGAATTATTTTTATGAGTTATTAATAAAATTAATTATTAATATTTTCCAAGACAACTTCAGTTTATTAGCAATATATAGGTTATAGTTTACATTTTAGATGAAAGAAACCAAACTATTAGACAATATTCCCAAATCATGACCCTGACACAGGCAGTTGCTTTGACAAAAAGGAATCTTTATCTTACCAAATCCACTAATAGAAAGGTCATACCCATGGATTTACTGATCCTTGCCTTATTTAAAAGACCACGTAAACTGGGAAAAAGTGGCTGCCCCAAGAACTGAAGAGGGATGATATTTGGTTTTAGGAACAAGTAGGTCATGCTCCCCAGGTTAAGGAACACAATGACTTTCAGTGAGAGAAAAAGTTAATCTTTTGTAGTAGCCAACAAGCAAGGCTGTTGCACTTGATGCTACACAGGGCACACAGCTGTCTAAAGGTCAGGCAAAGTTGTGAAGTCTACCTTATGCTCATTTGGCTAAGCTCTATCTCTATCACGAGACTGATTCATTTCAAAAAGACCTGTTTCTTTGCACAAAGGCCTCTGTTCACTAAAATTTATGTCTTCAGAGTTGTATCCATTCCAGATGGGGTCCCTTTTCACATTTCATACAAAGGTTTTCTGTGGCCCTGCCAACAAGAGCCAATTTAGTATACCTGAAATACTGCGTAAGTGATCTGGTCAGTATAATCTTAGTTTTTCTATGGTTAAAGAGATACACTTTCAGACATTGCTCACTTATTCACAAGGGAAACAGTGTCATGAGTCTGCTATGGGTCAGGGATAATGTTTGGAGCACAGAAAGTAAGCATACTCTGAAACTTTCAGGATCTTCTAATCTAGTTGAGGAATAAACATTTATTTATTTATTCATCAAACATTGTTTGGACCTCTTCATGTGGTAGGTACTCTGATAAGAACTGGCTATATGACTAATTATAACTTCGTGTGATAACAAAAAGGATGTCCAAAGCATTATTAGACAGAGAAAAGGGGAACTAAATCAGTTAGGGGAATAAAAGAAGAGTTTAAGGAAGGGATGGATTTTTAGTTAGATCTTAAGAACATACCTAAATTTATGGTGTGCAGCTAAAACAGTACTTAGAGGGAAACTTATAGCCATTAATGCAATATTGAAAAAAGATTTTAAATAAAAAAGCTAACCATTCTTATCAAGAAATTAGAAAAATAAAATTAAATCCAAAACAAGCAGAGAGCCAGAAAGAATGGATAATAAAACCACAGATAAATAAAACAGCAAATAGGAAAAAAATAAAATAAATAAATTAAACTGAAATTGGATCTTTGAAAAGGTCAATAAAATTTGTAAACCAAGAATAGAGAGAAGGCTTAAATTACTAAAATTATGAATGAAAAAAGGACATTACAGTCCTGATATAATAAAAAGGACTTGGTATATAAAGACATAACATACGAAAGAAAAAGAGAAACACTGGGACTCATCAAAATGAAAAACATTTGTATCTCAAAGAACATCATTTAAAATGCAAAAAAGATAGGACCAGCAGATGGTGTAATGGTTGTGTTGCTAGACTTCCATGTAGTCAGTCACAGTTTGAGTCCCAGACTTGGCAGCTTAAAATTCATGCCAAGTGTGTGTTTGTGTGTGTGTGTGTGTGTGTGTGTGTTTGCCCAAGATCCCAAGAGGAGAATAGAGGTGAAGGGATTGTGGCATAGCCATCCCCCTGGAGGGGAGGGGACAATTTCTTGCTTTCTGTCTCTGTCTCTCCAGTTAGTGCATGTACTCTATAGCAAAAAAACTCTCTCAAAAATAAAATAAAATAAAAGGACAATCTAAATAATGAGAATAAGTATCACAAATCATTTATTTGACAAAGGACTTCCCTCCAGGAAATATAAGTAATATTTATAACTCAATAAAAAGAAACCCAATTTAAAATTAAGCAAAGGATATGAACAGACATTTCACCAGTGATCTGTATTGTATATGAAGTTAAACAAATGACAAATAATCAAATAAAAAGATGTTCAAAATCACTAGTTATTCAGGAAATGCAAATCAAAATCACAGTGAGTCACCACTTTACACGCACTAGTTCGACTATAATAAAAAATTAGACAATAGAAACTTAAGATGGAAATATGGAGGAATTGAAACCCTCATACACTTCCTGTGTAAATATAAATGATATAGATATTTTAAAAAACTGTTTAGGTATTTCTCAAAATGTAAACATAGATCATTTAAGTCAGAAATTCCACTCCTAAATATATATTCAAGAGGAATAAAAATATATCTATGTAAAAGCACAGTGTTTGTAGAGGATGACTTACAATAGCCAAAAAAAAGTGAAAATAACTCAAAAATCCATCAATTGATAAATGAATAAACAAAATGTAGTATGTTATAATTGTAAAATTAAAATTGTTCTGAAAAATAAATAGAAAAAGTACTGTTACAAGTTACAACATGGATGAACCTTGAAAACATAAGTGGAAGACTGTGGTCACAAAATAACATACATTATATGATTCCATTGATAAAAAATTTGCAAACTTGTGAAACTCAGATAGCAAAAGCCCATTAGTGGGTATCAGGGGCTAGGTGATTAAACAGTGGTGATGGTTGTGAATATATATGAATATACTAAAACTATGAAATTAAGTGCTTTAAAATTGTGAATTATAGTACATAATTATATCAATATAGATACTAAAACAAAACAACTACGGATTTTTTTATTAAAAATGAATTCTATACATATACGTATATATTAATTTTGCTACAGGGCACGTATGTTCACTGGAGAGAGATAAAGAAAGAGAGGGGGAACCAGCAGTTAGTGTAATGGCTATGTCTCTGGACTCCCATGTAGTTGACTGTGGTTCAAGTCTCAGACCCGATGGCTTAAACTCATGCTGGGCACTTGTGCGTGCATGAACAAGATCCTGAGAGGAGAATGGAGGAGAAGGGATTGCCGTGTGGCTATCCTCCCTGGGGGGTGATTTCTTGCTTTCTGTCTCTCTCTGTCTTTCTGAGCTATATCTCATAACCGTTTAAAAAAAAAAAAAAAAAAAAAAAGAGAGAGAGAGAGAGAGAGGGAAAATGAGAAAGAACCTCCTAGGGGAGATAGCCATGCCACAGTCCTAAGGAATCAGCATCTTTTATAAATAAGAAATAGTCTCACTGACCTGCTTTCTGTAAACTCTGAAAAATCATCCTGAAGTTCAAACTTGTGCAGAACTTCTCCAATTAGATAACCACTGGAAAACACCTTTGCAAATGACTTGGGACCTTTAATTTGAAACATTGAGATAAAATAATAGTGAAAATAATGTTGCATATAAAGTCAAAATATTCTCATTATGAATACACTGTCAAGACTATAATTTAACTTGAACTCAAAATGCCATGAACATATTTCTAGAAACGCCTTTTACTAGACAAAGGAAAAGATACATGTTTAACAGTAGATATCTTATAAAGGTCTCCAAATAAATATAAATCAATAATTGATGGTATGAAAGATTTTGAAAGAAAAATAAACCTAAGTTCTGATAAAAATTAAACAAAATACAACCAATATATTTTATAAAGAACACTAGCTCTAAAAACAAATCTTCAAGATACTTTCAATCTAATAGTTTAGTTATCCATGCAACCTATGTGATGCCTAAATGAGGTCAATCTAACTTCATATAACAAAGACTCCATTTTGACATCTAAAGCAAGGGATATTTTAATAAAATCATCTGCACCTTCGTAAATAGAGACTATTAAACATTATCAAGGTTTTCTTTGTGGTCCAGAAGGGACAGTGTGGTCTAGTGGATGTCCTATGCAATGATGGTGATAATCTCAAAGGAAAACTGACTTTGGAGCCAGAAACATCTGTACTGAAATCTTGGCTCTGCTACTTACCAGCTGTGCAATGGCAAGCCACTTGGTATTTTATTTTATTTTATTCTATTTATTAAATTAATTAATTAATTAATTAATTAATTTTTATACATTCAACCACTGTATATCATTACGGCTTGTAACATGAATTTTCCCAGCATAAATACATTGTACATTATTAGTCCAGTTAAAAGTATTATCATACATGCTATCATCATAGATAATTTTCCATTTTTCTGTCCCTTAAATGCTTTGCTTCTTTCTTTTTCCCCTTGATTCCCTTCCTCTCATGCTCCCCCATTTCCTACCCTCCTCCCCCACTGTATCTAGTATCTGCAATTGTTCTCCATGCTTTTATATGTTCCAAACCTTCAGTTTCCACCATGGGGTGCGGACATTTGGTGTATATTAAATGGGGACATATAGTGGCTCTCTTTCATAACCTGGATTGCTTTGCTTAGCAGTAAATCTTCCATGTTCATCTACTTTCTATCAAATGCCAGGATCTTGTTGTATTTTATGACTGAGTAGTATCCCATAGTGTATATGTTCCACATTTTTTCTTCTTAAGATATTTATTAGTTACATTTAATTACGTCTTTACAGTGTACAAAACGTGCTATTTTTTCCTTAGCATGAATGCAGTGCATATCAGTCAAGACAAAGACATTATCCTATACATTATCATCAGCGAATAAGTTTTCATTTTTGTGTCAATTAAACCTATAATTTTTTTCACCTATACCCCTCCCTCTCCCTATTACCCACTCCCTATTTCTCATCCCCCCACTATCTCTACTATCCACAATTGCCCTCCCTGATATTATACCTTCCAATTTTTCAGTTTCTGCTGTAGAGTGCAGACATCCAACATATATTGAGCAGGATTCCACTCTTAGGTATTTCCCCAAAGAATGGAAAAACCCTCAGTTCGTAAAACACTTCACATCCAGTTTGTTGAAACACTATTCACAATTGCTAGGACACAGAATCACCCCAACTGTCCAAAACTAGATGAGTAGATTTTTAAAATGTAGCATATGTACTCTATGGAATACTCTTCAGCCATAAAATCAATGACACCCAGGCATTTGATACAAACTGCACACTTTTTCAATGCATTCATCTGCTTGTGGACATTAGTGCTGGTTCCATGTCTTAGCAACTGTGAATAATTCTGCAATAAACATGGATGTGCAAGCACTTTTCTAACTGAGCGTATTCCTCTTCTTTGGATAGGTATCCTGGAGTGGAATTGCTGGATTGTATGGTAATTCTATTTGTAGGTCTTTAAGAAATCTATATATTGCTCCTCACAGTGGCTGTACTAATTTACACTCCTACCAGTAGTGTATGAGAGTTCCCATTTCACCACAGCCTCATCAGCATTTATAATCTTTTATTTTTTTAATCTTAGCCATTCTGACCAGGATTATGTTTTATCCCTTTGTGGTTTTGACTTACATTTCCCTTATAATTGGGGATGTCAAGTACTTTTTATACATGCTTTTTGGTTGTACATGTGTTTTAGGAAACTCTGTTCAGCTCATTTGCCCATCTTTTAATTAGTTTTTTTTTTGGGGGGGGGAGGGAAGCTGTCCTGTGTATTCTTGTTATTAGTCCATTATCTGAGGCATAGTTTACAAATATATTCTCCCACTCCAAGGGTTGCTGATTCACTATTGTTTCTTGTGCTGAGTAGAAGCTTTTAAAACAGATATAATCCCACTTGTCTATTTTTGAGACTATTTTCTGTGCTTTAGGAGTCTTATTTAAGAAGTCTGCCTCCTATGATGTCGCCCAGAATTTCTCCTGCATTGTTCACCAGCAGGTATATAGTTTGAGGCCTTAGGTTTAGATCTTTTATCCATTTTGAGCTTATTTTTGTTAATGGTGAGAGACAGGGATTCAGATTCATCTTTCTGCAGGTGGATACCCAGTTTTTCCAGCACCATTTGCTAAAGAGGTTTCCCTTTCCCCACTGGATTGACTGGTACCACTTGTCAAAAATTAGTTGGCTTTATGGTTTGGGGTTCATTTCTGTGGTCTCTATTCTGTTCCATTGGTCCACGTGACTGTTTTTGTGTCAATATCCTGTTGCTTATACTATTATGGCTTTGTAACATATTTTGGAGTCACAGAGTGAGACGCCTCCTATTCCAATCCATTCTTCTTGCACAATATGGTTTTGGCAATACAGAGTCTTTTGTGATTGTACATTACTACAACTTATAAAATGAATTACCCAACATGAATATGTATATAATAATGTCATCTGCAAAAAGAGATAATTTCACCTCTTCTTTCCTTATTTGAATGCCTTTTATTTAATTCTCTTTTCTAATTGCATTGGCTAGGACTTCCAGCACTATATTGAAAAGGAGCGTGAAAGTGGGCAGCCTTGTTTCATTCTAGTTTTTATTGGAAAATCTTTCAGCTTTTCCCATTCAGTATAAAGTTAGCTATGAATTTTTCATATATATGGCTTTTATTGGAAAACATCCCTTCTTTGCCAATTTTGCTGAGAGTCTTAATCATAAAGGGATATTGTATTTTATCTAACACCTTTTCCACATTGATATGATTATATATCTTTTATCTTTTTTTCTGTTAATATGGTGCATTACATTTATGGTTTTGTGAATATTGAACTATCCTTGCATCCCTGGAATAAAGCCTACCTAATCGTGGTGTATAATCTTTTTTATGTGTCATTGAATGCAATTTGTTAGTATCTTGTTGAGAATTTTTACATCTATATTAATTAGAGATATTGGTCTTTAGTTTTCTTCTTTGTGTTATGTCCTTGTCTATTTGAGGCTGAGGGTGATGGAGGCTTTATAAAATGAATTTGAGAGGATTCTTTCCTTTTGGATCTTTTGAAATAGTATGAGTAGAATGGGGGTTAACTCTTCCTTGAAAGTTTTCTAAAATTCAGAAATGAAACCATCAGGACCTGGGCTTTTCTTCGTTGGGAGGTTATTTATCACTGATTCCATTTCATTGCTTGTAATTGGTTTACTCAAGCTTTCTATTTCTTTCTTATTCAGGCCACTTGCTTAACCATTCTGTTTAACATTTCTAGAACAGAGAGAAGCACATCTATGTGTATTTTGGAATGCTATTTTAAAGATTGTAGGTGTGAAATATATGAGAATTTATGTATACTATCCCCACCATGAGTAGGTACATAATGATAAGTACAGAAAAAAACATTATTTTTAAGTGTTAAAAATAGAAATTGATTTTTTTAAAAAAGTCCTCAGTTTTTAGATAACTTGTATTTTTTTTATGAAGTCAAAGATACAGAGTTAATGGTATGTAAAGACAATGCATAAAATTGGCAGTCTTTATATCACCAGAAATCAAAGTTATCATCTTTTAAATTTTTTTCAAAATCTTTCTTTAGTATGCTCTCATCGGGATCCTTTAGGCAACACCAAAATATTGGGTTGTTGGAAATGCCATGACATGTGTTTATATAGAAAAACAAAAAAGTCACGACTTTTTCGACAACCCAATATTAAATATCATCGCAGTTTCACAATCTTGGTCATATCAGATTGTTTTATTTTATCTATTTGATGTGGCTAACTGAATATGAGAAATAGCATTTCTTCTTGATTTATAGAGCTGGTACTTGGTTGCACTATTTGCAGCAGAGAGTGAGGTAAATGACTCTGTAAAGCCACTGTGCAAGGGCATTACCCAGAAGACTACATGTTATGTAAGAATATAACTCTTTTGCATATCTAATACTAGTCCACAATTTTATCTAAGACTTGCATAATTATTCTAAAAATTCTTTATACTCTAATAGTATCCCCATGCTTCGGTTGAGTAGATATAATAATAAAGGTAGTTTAAAAATATATCAACTCCTTGATACTGTTTACTTAGGTGAGTACCCAGACTGTCTAGCATTAGATTCTATTGACTATCGTTATGTGATTTTTGATTCACAGTTGTAAAAAGAAAGGGTACAAAACCTTCAGGATAAATAAATGACTTGTCTATGGATCACTTCAGCAACAAGTAAAGAGATGGAACTTTTGCAAGCTCCAGGTGGATGAAAACTTCTAATCATGCAAACTTGTGCTCCACTACAGTTCATGTGAAAAGACTCCCATTGCATTATTTTAAAGCCTAAAGTCTGGCAGCTCTTAATGAATTTTAGCAAGATATTCATGAGGCAGGCCAATATTATCATTACTGTAAAACTATTCAGGCAGAACTATACCCTTCTAAAATTATGATACATTCTTTCCTTATCAGTTATACCATCCTTCCAAAGCTGTGTCCTAATTTTAAACACCAACATCATCCTTTTGAAAATATAATTAAAGAACAAGTATCTCCTGAAGCTTCTACCAGGAAAATTCTAAATTCATGTA